CAAATAATAAACCAATGAATTTGTTTTGCCAGTTTTTAAAAAGGTTACAAGATATAACAAAAATAATTGTAAAAAAGAAGTTCAGGGTCTGATTGACGATATACGGCATGCTTTTGGAAACCACGCCAGTTGTAAACAATACTTCTGTGAAAAATGGTTGTATACAAGAGAATTAAGAACAGACAAAATCTTTCTTTTAAATTTTCCGCCTAGTTGTAACTATAAGGCCTAATACGCCATGTGCCAATTTAATTAAATATATTTTAAATAAAGTGATCTTGACTACTTGTCATTAATTCAGCATTGATAAAAATGAGAACAGTAAAAGAAGGATGCAGAATGCCAAATTCTCTATAGAACTTTGCACCACCGAAAAGTGTGGTGTACACGAATGCCGTATACAACATTTTTTTTCTACTTGATTACTTCGTCCAAATTATATACCTAGTCAGATCATAAATTCTGTCACATGTTTAATATAAAATAATTGAAACAAGTTTATTCATTATGTAACCATTTATATACCAAAATGAACTTAACAAACCATAGATTCTTATGAAACTAAAGTTTATTCGAAATGACCTCCGTAATTTTGAATACAGGCCTTCAATCTACGCGGCCAGTCGTCTATCGCAGCACGAACGAGTTCCATGTCAATATCGGCGGCTGCCTTAATCAAGGATGTCTTGAGTGACTCCAAATTGGGATGAGGCTTTGAACACGCCTTTTCCTCCAAGTGTTGCCTTATCTTGTAATCTAACGGATTCAAATCTGGACTGGAGGAGGGCCAGTCTTCGTGCCGGATGAAGTCGATTTCACGCGCCGCCAGCCAGTCTTGTGTGCTCTTCGCTCTATGAGCTGGCGCCGAATCTTGTTGGAATACCCAGTGCCTGTTATTGAACATGGTATGAGAAAAAGGTTCCACAAGGTTCGTCAGGACTGTATTTTGATACACAACTGCATTCGTTTTTACACCTTTCTCACAAAAATGTACCTCTGTTAAGCCCCAACAAGAAACTCCCAACCATACCATGAGCGAGGATGGAAAATAACCTCGTTGGACACGCGGAATACGGTTGCTCACTTCTTCACTACTGTGTGCGTACACCTTATCATTTTGTTTGTTGTAGCTCTCTTCTACGGTAAAAATTTTTTCATCCGAAAAAAGAATTTCCCGATATTTTTTCCCGCGTACCCCTTCTACAAAGCGCGGCATCTCTTCAGTCTCAGGTCCATTAGACGAGCATTCAAACGATGTCCTGTTTTTCTTCGATATGCCCGAAGCCCTAAGTCTTCATTTAACACCCTTTTCACCGTGGTTCTGCTTAACCCCATCTGAAGGGCCAACAGTTTCTGCTTACCTAATTTATTTAATCGCGGGTTCGCATTGTTTGCAAGTTCCCAATTATCGATTATGGGTTCATTGACATCGTTGTTTCCATGTTTGACATGTGTCATCTTTAATTTTTAGCATCGATGATCATCGAATAGCTGAGTGGGAAAGACGCTTAAAATAGGGATGTATTTTAAGGGTGTTTCCCACTCAGCGTGTGTTATGCGATGATCGTAAATAAAGCGTAAGGTCAAACTTTACGCGTTGCAGGAGTTGACCTCAGTACTGATTGTTTTGCACATGGCCAACTATATATTGCTTTTTCTCGCGTTAGTAGTCCCCGTAACCTTTTTCTGTACGTCCCGGCTAAGTCTACTTCTAACGTCGTTTACACAGAAGCTCTATTATAAACGACTTAGAACTTTGAGCATATCGATTTATTTTGTTATCACTTATTGATACAGTAATGATATAAATCGTTTAATATTCTCTTACCCTAAACGTCAAATCCTTTAAGTAAAACCTATATACGCGGACTACGCCGCGGGCACAGCTAGTAATATATACCTAGTCAGGTCATAAATATTGTCACACAGTAAAAACTTTTCTTTTAGAATGCTGGCCACAAAAAAGTTTATTGAATTCGAATTTCAAATTGTTCATGAAAATAAAACTGTATACTTTTTAGAATTTTACTCATTTTTAAATATGGAGTTAAAGAAGACCGCGTTGCAGTTATTGCGTTGCATCGTTGCGGTTACGCGCCAATTCAAATTTTTGACATACTGAAAAATTTGAATATAACTAAATGATTCGTTTATCGTACCATCAAATGATACAATGAAGACTCTAGTGTAGATGACAGGTCAAGAAGTAGTCGCCCTCGGTCTGTTAGGACTCCAGCAGTGATAAAAGCTGTGAAGGCGCGAATTCAAAGAAATCCCAAACGTAAGCAGAAACTGTTGGCCCTTCAGATGGGGTTAAGCAAAACCACGGTGAAAAGGGTGTTAAATGAAGACTTAGGACTTCGGGCATATCGAAGAAAAACAGGACATCGTTTGAATGCTCGTCTAATGGACCTGAGTCTGAAGAGTTTCCGCGCTTTGTTGAAGCGGTACGCGGGAAAAAAATATCGGGAAATTCCTTTTTCGGATGAAAAAATTTTTACCGTAGAAGAGAGCTACAACAAACAAAATGATAAGGTGTACGCACACAGTAGTGAAGAAGCGAGCAAACGTATTCCGCGTGTCCAACGAGGTCATTCTCTATCCTCGCTCATGGTATGGTTGGGAGTTTCTTATTGGGACTTAACAGAGGTACATTTTTGTGAGAAAGGTGTAAAAACGAATGCAGTTGTGTATCAAAATACAGTCCTGACAAACCTTGTGGAACCTTTTTCTCATACCATGTTCACACACTGGGTCACACACAGGCACTGGGTATTCCAACAAGATTCGGCGCCAGCTCATAGAGCGAAGAGCACACAAGACTGGCTGGCGGCGCGTGAAATCGACTTCATCCGGCACGAAGACTGGCCCTCCTCCAGTCCAGATTTGAATCCGTTAGATTACAAGATAAGGCAACACTTGGAGGAAAAGGCGAGTTCAAAGCCTCATCCCAATTTGGAGTCACTCAAGACATCCTTGATTAAGGCAGCCGCCGATATTGACATGGACCTCGTTCGTGCTGCGATAGACGACTGGCCGCGCAGATTGAAGGCCTGTATTCAAAATCACGGAGGTCATTTTGAATAAACTTTAGTTTCATAAGAATCTATAGTTTGTTAAGTTAATTTTGGTATATAAATGGTTACATAATGAATAAACTTGTTTCAATTATTTTATATTAAACATGTGACAGAATTTATGACCTGACTAGGTACTATGAGCTGAAAGTCTAAGTTAAAATACCCAAATTAAGTTTAGTAGCAATCGGAACCCATTAATTTTCTTTCGGTTTATAATTTGCAATTGGGTCCTGCCTGCTACTAAGCTTAATTTGAAATTTAGACTTTTTAGTGCCCCAACACACTCTTAAGAACTAAATTTCATATGATAGCACGATGTCCGACACAACCATGGCCCATTTTACATTTTTACCATTTTTTAAAAAAAAACTTTAAACCAATTTATTATTCCTAATTAAATTTAAACACATAACTTATATATATTTTTGCAATCGCCTTTTAATTTCCTTTATTTTGATACCGTACTCGATAGATTTGGTTAATTATTTTTAATTGACGTACGGTAGTACGTCAATTAAACCATTTTGCGCCAAAAATCAGCCATTTTGTTTGTTTTTTCAAAATACTATCTTAGAATACTTGGGTTTCTAAGAAGAATTAAACGATACCTTAATTGTCAAAATCCATCCAGCAGTTTGGAACATACGATGTAATAAAGAAATTTACAAACATATAAGATACGCGTGAAAAACAAAACCCTTCCTTCGTAGTCGGGTAAAAAAACTTGGACTCTTTATTACCTATTAGCTAATATTTTTTACATTTGTGTGACGTAAAATTATATATAGAAAACATAACCAGGAAAGACAACCGAAAATCAAGACATTTAGGAACTTTAGGTCTCAACAATTGTTTTCACTCTAATCTTGCTACAGTTTTACACGGCGTGCTTTCTATTCTGCGAAAGAATATATTTGCTCATCAAAGTCTGTCTCAAAGACAGTTTTATTTTAATGGCCTGAATCACAGACCACATAGACGTTCCTGATAGAACGTGCGCTCGCTAGGCGCTTTTTGATGCAAGTTTTTTTTTCACCCCCTGAAACTGCCTGAAGTGCCCCAGATCCGCGGCTGATATGTACTGTGGTAGCTACTTACTATCAGATGGAGTGTAAGTTAGTTTGTCCCTTCAGTTTTATAAGAAAACTATTGCATTACGAGGCTTTACATTTATACTATAACATTACTAACAAAGCTTCTAATAGAGTTTTTGGTTAAATAAGAGTGACAAACGAATACACAGTCTTCCTGATGGTAAGTGGATACTGTCTAGACATCTACATTTACCTTCGTTAAGAATCAATATACCGAAACGTTGTAATCCTTGAGGACTAAGATGGAATGACTCGCATCCATTAAAAAGAGTCTCCGGTTCTCTACACCCACCATACGAAACACAACAGTATTAAGCTGCTATTTTACGCTGGTATTCTGTTGAGAGCATGGTCCTCCCCCAGTCCTAACCTAACCTAACCTAACGACTCGTGCTACAACCATAATATAACACCCTTTTTACTGGAAAAGAGGCATTCCATCTTAGTCCTCACGGCTGACAACGCATCTGCATTTTAATTCGCAAACGAAGGTAGATGTAGATGTCTATGGGCCACAGCAACCACTTACCATGAGGTGGACTGTGTGCTCGTTTGTCACCCTTATTCTATAAAAAAAAATATAACTGCAGCATGACTTTGTTGAGGCAGATGGAAGCATTAGTGCTCAGGTGTGATAACGCATCTGCATTTTGATTCTTAATTAAAGATAAATATAGATGTCCATGGTCACAACATCCACTTACTATCAGGTGGACCGTCTGTTTTTTTGTCACTCTTATTCTATAATAAAAGGAGACTAGTGTCCAGAAGTGGAAAATATTAATCTGTAACATTTCTACTATCAAAAAACGTGATTAAATTTCAGCATCAATAATCAGCATAGGTATGCTGATAGGCAACTTCGTCGTTTCAAGCATCATGGATCGTTACGGACGCAAGGCGGCGCAGATTAGCTCAAGTCTTCCAGCTATCGTTGGGTGGTTTGTCATTGCTCTGGCAGTTAATGCTGAGGTAAGAGTAAAATAATGAATAACTTTTCACCATGAACAACTGCAACATCAGGGGTGGATGCGTGGCCGGCCTTTTAAAAAAAAGTAGACTCTTTTCTTGAAGATCCCTAAGCCCTATCGGTCGGAAATATCGCTGGTAGTAGTCGACTCCACAAGAATGTTGTGCGGGGAAAAAAACTTAATTCTAAAAAATTCTAAAATTCCGTGTGGTGGCAGCGTAACCCCATATTGTACCGTGGGTATCGTAAAAGGTGACAGAGAGAAATTAAACAGGAGATGGGCAGGAGCATCTTCTTAATAACGACTTAAAATAATAATTAAACTACGGTCGTCATCTGCTTGCCAACCCTGGCAATCGTCAATCCGATTGTCAGGCTGCCAGGCATGTGGCGTACGATGACGATTGACGTGAGGCGTGGATACATGAATGTATGTAAATAACAGTGTATCGTCACACTGTTTTTCCAATATTTGTCTATTTGTATGACCGTGTGGTAGGGTTGGGAAAGAACCAGGAACTATGGGGAATGTCAAAAAAGATCGTATGCTTAATATCATTCCGTGGACTCGTAAAAGGCGTCAGGGGTAAATTAAAACTGGAGATGGGCAGCAGCATCTTCCTTATAAAAACACAATAATAATAAATAAAACTGGGGTTGCCAAACCGTTTGCCAAGCGTGATTTACGTTGAGCAATGGACTTTTGATAGGCTGTCATGAATTAATGAATGAAAATTAGTTGTAATAATATTTTAAATGATACTTTAATGAAACCAATTGCACTTACGTTGTACGTTTCTTTTCTTTTTAAGATGCTGATATTGGCGAGATTCCTTCAAGGTGTATCAATAGGGTTTACGCTACCGTTGCGATCAGTCCTTATTGCAGAATATGTAAGCCCCAAATACCGAGGAGGATTTCTTACAACCTTATCACTCGCTCGAGGCGTTGGGGTGTTTTTGATACATCTCATGGGATCTTTGATTAGTTGGCAGAGGACCAGTGTTGTTTGCGGTGTGTTGGCCTTCCTGGGTCTTGTCATAAGCTTCTATCTGCCTGAATCTCCAAGTTGGTTAGCTGTAAAGGGTAAATATGAAGAATGTAGAAAGGCATTTCGCTGGATAAGAGGTGATGATGAAGAAAAGGAATTGGAGGAGTTGATACAATCAAGAATTGAATTTAAAGAAGATTTAGAAAATAAAGGGCAACACGTGAATCGTTTAAAGTTGATAAAAACGGTTATCTTTAAAAAAGAATTTTATAAGCCTATAATAATAATAACGCATTGCTATTTGATGGTACAAGTGTGCGGGAACGCAACAATGCCAGCCTTTTCAGTTCAAATACTGAGTGCTATGATGGGTCCAAAGGCCAAAGCGCATGTATGGATGGTTATTTTAGATTCATTAAGAACTGTTGCTAATATTGCCGCCATTTTCATGATCCACAGATTCAAACGACGTACAATTCTATTTGCAACTGGAGGACTATGTACACTTGTACACATATCTATAGCTGGATATGTATACGCTAAAATGAATAACTTACTAATTTACGATGCGCAATGGATATCTGGATCTTTAGTGATATTACAATTTCTCTGCATAGGTTTAGGAATGATACCAATGCCTACTGTGATAGCTGGCGAGGTCATACCTTTAGAATTTAGAAGTATTATATCTAGTGTTAGCGCTGTAGTGGTTGCTGCATTTATGTTCGCTGTACTCAAGACATTTCCTCTTTTAGTCGATAGTGTATATTTATACGGTACTTATGCTATATATAGTAGTGTTTTGACATATACCCTAGTTGTTCTATGGATTCTCTTACCAGAAACCAGTGGGAAGACTTTACAGCAAATTGAAATTGAACTTAAAGGAAAAGATTTTCGGAATGAGGACCTTGAAGCAAAAGTCAACTTAAAATCAGAACATGTTGAAGAAAACGAAAATGGTACAGCTAGGAGAAAGGAATAGATACATCTCACAGAGTGATATCATTATAGTATGTTTGTGATTATGATGTAGGAAGATTGGATCATAAAATATTTTGGCTGCGATCGTAAACGAAATAGCTCGGTAACCAGTGGGATTTAAATGTATTATCTTCAAAATGTATCAGCTTTATATCACCGTTTGTGAAGTGTTTTGTTAGTTGTCAGCCTTATGCCGGTAACAAGAGTGAAGGTTGGCCGCCTTTATTCAGCAGTGGACTTGTGAAGGACTGTAATGATTATGATGATGGGGAGCTGGCTGTATCGCGTGTTTATGCCGTAGTAGAATCAAACGCCAGAAAAATCTCATGGCTTCCAACAAATGGCGGTTTGTGTCAGACGGAAGATGCGAGACATCTGGACTGCGATTGCAAACCAAGACCGATGTTTCCTTTGTCCTACCTCCAAATAAGTGAATCTATTAATAATCTATAGTCTATTTTGTCACCTTCTTGCTTGCATTTTTAATAGAAAAAACATGTTTGGCGACTGCTCGTTTATTCTTGTAAAGCGCACCGGCAGATATCACCGCTATTGGTATTACACTGCGACACAATGCTAAGTTGAATGCCTATTTGTTGTTGCATTAATGATAATGTAACATAATATATTCATGTGGTGTAAATATGTATTATGTAGCTTCAAATAAATATGTTTCCTTCTTTCCGTATGTTATTACTCTAAGTTGCCACGCAAAAATATATAGGATAAGGGATCTGTTACAATTTATTAATAGTTATTTATCGTAGGACATCTATCAAAATTTTCCCAGCAGGGCTTGCATGGACAGGAGACTATTTTATCCCCGGGGAAAGGAGAAAATGTTTATCCCCTCGCTTAGTTTTATCCACCCTTCGAGCATGGGTGTACCGGTGGATATAATATCTACAGTAGATAAAATAGAAGATAGACTTAGATAGATTTTTGGATGAATATAAACTTCAACTCACGTCCAATGAACTAGGATAAAATTGTCCCTTTCAAATGTCAAAAAGCGTAATTTTTTATCTTTCATTTAGCTTCATGGTACGGACGGGGGATATATGTCTACTCGTTTTGTAAAACAGGGATATACTTCTCCCCGTTGCCGTGCTTTGGCATAAGGTTAAGATAATTTTGTCTCTTGTCAGTGGATATAATCAGGGGATAAATTTTTTGTCCACAGCCCATGCTAGCCGTGCTGAAGCCTTTATTTTTGAAGGTGCGACATGTGGTAGCTTTATATAGCGCATATTTTTATAGTTCTATGTCCAGCAGTGGAGTTTTATAGACTGTAATAATAGTTAGGAAATTTTTGCTTCAGCGAACGCTTTAGAACGTGTAGTGGCGGTGTAGGTATATCCACTACCGCACAACATCCCGTGGGTGTCGTAAGAGGCGACAGAGGGAAACACATCAGGATATTGGCGGCAACATCTTCCTAATAACGACCAATAATAAAAGACTGCGGTAGCCAATCCACTTGCCAAGCGTGGAAACAATTACAAATATCTCCCCTATGAGGCGATCTATTGAGGAGGCCAATGTTCAACCGTGGACTTTGATAGGCTGTAATGGATGTATGTATAGAAGATGATCTATTTTAGCTCATTGTTTAAATCGTATAATCTTGTTAATTTATCCTTAGAACCAACACGTATTGCTGGGCCTAGTGCGACCTGTATAGATAACATTTTTACAGATATTAAGCCCTTTCATAAATCAGTTATTCAAAATTTAAGTTCAGATCACTGTGAACAGTTGGTATCACTACCTTACATACACAAAAAACAGTAAAATAAGAAAGTTGTGTTTGTTCCAATAAATGAATATCGCTTGGAGAGGTTTAGAAGTAATATAATAAAAAGACTTCCATCACTTTCATTTAAAAATAGTGCTAATTATTTGTATGGTACGTTATTAACAATTATAAGTTGTGAATTTAGTAGAATATTTACTTCTAAAACTTTCTCTTTTAACAGTCGCAAATCATTTAATGAATGGGCGACAGTAGGAATTTATAAAAGTAGGCGAAGGTTATACGAGCTTTATGATGAAAGATTATATAGTAGTGTTATATTTAGAGATTATGTAAAAACATATTCTAAAATATTTAAAAAAGTGTGCTCCACTGCTAAGGCTTTACATTTAAACAACAAAATTAAAACTGCATCCGACAAAATTAAAATGACCTGGAGAATAATAAATAGTGAAACGGGCAAGTTCAAACCGTGCAACTCGAATTTTCAATTGAATATTAAAAATAATTTAACGTGATCTGATCAAGTTGATATGGCTTTTGAGAAAAATTTTACTGATGTTCCTTTTTTGACAACAAAATCATTAAATTCTTCTCCTACTGTCGCCGAATCATTGCTCAAACAAAATGTAAATGCTTGTTCAAATACTTTTAAATTCCATAGGGTACTGCCAAAATATATCATTAAATATTTTAAAACTTTTGATTTTAAGAAAACGGCAGACTTATGGGGGATTTCCGTTAAAGTTATTTTATCTATAATAGATATAATAGCATCTTATCTAGCCACTATATTTAATATAATTGTTGAATCTGGTGTTTCCTGATTTAATGAAGCATAGTAGTCATACCTATACTTAAATCTGGTAGTACATTAGATCCCGCCAATTTTAGACCAATTTCTGTACTACCAACATTTAGTAAAATTTTTGAAAAAATAATTTTAGATCAGATCTTAAGTTTCTTTAATAGTAATAAATTGCTACATAAAAATTAATTCGGTTTTACAAGGGGTCGCTCGACAACTGACGCTGGAGTTGAGCTTATTAAACATATTTTTTGTGCATGGGAGAATTCAGAGGATGCTTTGGGTATATTTTGTGACCTTTCCAAGGCCTTCGACTGTATTCACCATGTGACATTAATCAGGAAGCTACAGTACTATGGTGTCAAGAACACAGCGCTTAAAGTTATTATTTCATATTTAAGTAATAGAAAGCAGAAGGTTTATTAATTGTAAAAGTTACTATCAATGGTAAAAGTTCTTACGGGTCACCTGTACTAATGGGTGTCCCTCAGGGCTCGATTCTCGGCTCATTCCTGTTTCTGGTGTATATTAGTGACTTACCTCACCTTGTAGGGGATAGTAGAAGTGAATAATGCTGTATCAAATTTAGTGCATTGGTTTAACGTTAATAATCTGCATTTGAACGGAAATAAAACTAATTGTGTTAAATTTACAACAACGAATGTTAAAAATCTGAATACCAATGTGGTTTTGAATGGAGAGGAATTGAGCCCTGTTGTATCCACTGTTGTTCTTGGCATCACTCTCGACGCAAAGCTTCAGTGGGGCCCCCATATATCCAAATTAGCAAGCAGACTAAGTTTTGCAGCCTATGCTGTAAAAAAGATTAGAGGTATCACTGGTGTCGAGACAGCTAGATTAGTTTATTTCTGTTATTTCCATAGCATAATGTCTTATGGGATTTTGCTATGAGGAAATGCGGCTGATTCAGAAACTATTTTTGTTTTACAGAAGAGGGCCACTCTTCTGTAAAACTGTTAGAGCTATTTAAAACCTAAAACCGAGAGAGTCTCTTAGAGATAAATTTAAAGAAATAAATATATTAACTTTGGCCTCTCAGTATATTTACGAAAATTTAATGTATGTTCACAAAAACAAAGGTAGTTTTAGTAAAAAAAAGTGATGTGCATTCTGTAAACACTTGAAACAAACACAAGCTAGTGATGCCAGTTTCTCGACTCCACAGAGTCAGTAATTCATTTTTGGGGCAATGTATAGACTATTACAACAAGGTCCCGGAAAGTGTACAGGTTCTCTCTATTACCGAGTTTAAATGTTTTATTAATCTGAAACTGTATAAAAAGGGTTATTATAGTATAAATAAATACCTGGAAATGAGGTGATCGCTTCCAAGCAGTTTCTAAAATAAATTTTGTAAATAGTTCGTAATCATTTATATTGTAAAATTTATTTAAAAAAAAAGTTCCGCTGGGTTTCACATGACCCACTGAGAGGTGAAATTTTCAAATCAACAGTAACATTACAACTATGCCAGATATCCCCCCTATGAGGCAATTTATGGAGGAGGCCTATGTTCAACAGTGGACTTTAATAGGCTGTAACGAGAAACGCTTTAAGTGGGCTAGATAACTTTTTATAACGGTGTATTTGATTATCGGTAAATAAAATTGTAAATAATTATAACATTGTGTAACGTATATGTCGGAACTAGTGAAAATACATCAGGAAAGGTTAATTGTTAAAAATAGTAAAAGTGTGAGAGCGGATATATTCAACCTGCTCTCTTGCTTACGCAGTTAATCATTAGTGGCAATAAAACAGCGTAACTGCACTATATAATCAGTAAAGGTAATTACATTTCGATCATACCGTAATATGACCTCGTCACAATTACATATTAATTTTATTCAATGTATATTATAATGCAATAGTGACAAACGAGCACATATTCCACCTGATGTGTGTGCGAGTGGATGCTGCGGCCCATAGACACACTTCTATCCTCAATTAAGAATCAAAATGCAGATGCGTTGTCACCCCTGAGAACTAAGATGGAATGCTTCTTTTTCAGTAAGAGGGTTTTTCAGTTCTCTACACTCACTACACCACACGTATGGTGTATTACACCACTCGTATTACAAATAAAATCTATTATCAAATGTAATTTTTTTATAATATTAAATACTCATCACCCAACCCACATATATGCGCAAACGCAGACAGTGTTTGATGATCTGCTGATAACCATGTACCTACATGCAGTGTTACAGATAAGATAACAATCTATATAAACATATCTGGTAACCGTTAATTTGTTTTTCCAAGACCGTGTGTGTTTTGAGGTCAAAAATGAAATACAATAAATTTATTTTACGTTGAAAGAAAATTTATTTGTCTAATGTTATCCCGGCCAGAGAGGAATGACGAAAAACCCTCCGCTATCCTATTTTTTATTTATTACAATAAAATTCAAAGCATCTTATCTCATCAGGGAAATACAGTTTACAGCTGTACAGTGCTCGTGCGTTGTGCGTGCGTGCGTTCGTGCGTTAGTGCGTGCGTGCGTGCGTACGTGTGTGCGTGCGTACATAAATATACAAAGGATCGTTATATATTATCGTTAAGTAACTTTAAGAGGATATCTGAACGGCGACACTAGCCACAAGTTAGATCTTTTTTTTTAACTTAGGGAAATGCCTACACATACAGGGTAAGGACGAGTTAGGTCGGACTCGCACCGACTAAAACCCCTTGGTGTTCCACCTGCGTCGCATATTGGAACGGCCACAGCAACGCTTTCACACACATACGCAGCCCCACCAGAGCCGGCTATCCAAGGGCGGCCCTTCCTCCAGTGAGGACTACTACTCCCCCATCTCGTTCTCAGGTAAGGCGCACCAGAACACATGGCGCGCCTTTCCTTGCGGCCTGTAACTTTACCTGCGCAACGAATGCTCCCGTGTCCGATGTGTAAAGTCCATGGGGTCAGGAAAAAACAAGTACTCAGAAGCACTAGCCTTCCTGACCCCAGTGGCAGATCTGGTCTATGGCTCCGCCGCCAACTAAGATTTGGCTGCGAGGGCTAGAGAGAGCGGAACCTCGCAATACCGACACTCCTCTCTCCCCGCAGCCGTACCACCACCGCATCAGCGGTGCG